GGGGGCTCACCTAGAAACAGTAATGGAAGAATTTCCCTCTTTCTGTGTTGGGGTTACAGCCTGAGTATCTGTGCTACTCTTCTGTCTCTTTAAACTTGACTGAGTTCTACTTCTAGAAAAGGAAAACTTTACATCTTGTTATTTCTCCCTCAAGGAACATAAGTAAATGGAATCTGCAAGAGACCCCAATGTGGACCCCCACAACACAAGAATATAATATCTTGTCTTCAAAAGTGTACGCTGTATAAGTTTTCTGTTTTTATCCCCCTGAGAAAAATGGTTATTCTGCCATAACATGCAAGGCCTAACTTGGTTAAATAGTTTTGTTAATTTATGTTGTATTATGTCTTTTGCCAGAGATTATATCTTGCAACAAGTAGTGAAGGCAAATTGAATAAAAAAACTTGCATTTTTAAAAACCTTGAAGAATTAGAACAAACCAAAACCATGTCAATTTATATTCCTACCTAGTGAGAGAGGTAGCGAGGGACTCCCTTGTCCTGCTTGAAACAGATTCAGCTAAGATATCCTCCCTGGGAGTACTTGTATTCATTCCTCCAGATTTATAAACAGAACCTGGAGTACCGCCAACCCTAGTCCTACGCTGCTCTACATGTACTCCAGGGGTGACTGGAGATATATCAAGCAGTCCTGTCATATTTCCTAAGTTGTAAATATATAAGTTTATTTACAGATTTGAAATTTTGATTTTTCATCAATCATTTTTGGTAACCCCCCCCCCCCAAAAAAAAAAATAAGTCAATAATTCAGATGTCTTTCTTAACATGCAAGTTAAAACTTAATTAAAAAACATCGAACAAGGATCGGAGTTGACAGAAGTCTTTGAACCACCAATAGCCGATTCAAATCCTAAATCACCAATTTAAAGTAAATACTCCTGAGGATTTATGTAATAAATGAAGAGTGAATCGGTGATTCAAGATTTTAACCAGCGGTCAGTAGTTCGGCAACCTCCTCAATACATTTAATTCGGTTCCAAAAGACAGTCAACTGAACACAAAAAGGTTTACAGGGATATATTTTCAAATGCTTTTCGAAGATTTGATTGAAAATGAAATTTTGGATCAACTAGCAAGTTATCCCGGAATCCCCACACAAACGAGATAAAAAATGTAAATAATTGTTAACTGTCTACAGAAATCAGATAGATGGACAAGGGTTAACTATCAAGTATATGGTTGAATTACCTATTCTAGTAGACTCTACATTAGGACTAAATGATCTTGTGTTCTCTAGTTCTCTAGGATACTCTTCTAGTCCTGCCTGGTAGATACTCTTCCTAGACTCCCGTCTTAAGATAATTTCTAGAAATAGATTTAGGATTAAACTTCGGACTTCCTAGACTCCCGTCTTAAGATAATATCTAGAAATAGATTTAGGATTAGACTTCGGACTTCCTAGACTCCCGTCTTAGGATAATATCTAGAAATAGGTTAAGGATTAAACCTCCTATACTCCCGTCTTAGGATAATATCTAAAAATAGGTAAAGGATTAAACCTTCTATACTCCCGTCTTAGGATAATATCTAAAAATAGGTTAAGGATTAAACCTCCTATATTCCCGTCTTAGGATAATATCTAGAAATAGATTTAAGATTAAACTTTCTAGACTCCTGTCTTAGGATAATATCTAGAAATAGATTTAGGATTAAACCTCCTATACTCCCATCTTAGAATAATATCTAGAAATAGGTTTAGGATTAAACCTCCTATACTCCCGTCTTAGGATAATATCTAGAAATAGGTTTAAGATTAAACTTTCTAGACTCCTGTCCTAGGATAATATCTAGAAATAGGTTTAGGATTAAACCTCCTATACTCCCGTCTTTAAATATCTAGAAATAGGTTTAGGATTAAACCTCCTATACTCCCGTCTTAGAATAATATCTAGAAATAGGTTAAGGATTAAACCTCCTATACTCACGTCTTAGGATAATATCTAACAAAAGATTTAGGAATAAACCTCCTAAAAGGTTTAAACAATAAATAATAAATATATTCAAAGATAATCTATATATAAATTTGACTTGTCTGTCTGTTTGTCTGTTTGTTTGTATCCAAAAAACGTCAAAACGGCTAAACCGATCGGGCCCAATTTTTTTGTGGGACATCACGTGACCACAGGGAAGGTTTATGAATGATAAAAATTTTAAAAAATGTGTTGTAAAGGTTTTTAATTTTGTAAAAAAAAAATTCTTGAAAATCCGCGATTTTCTTTTTAAATCCTCAAAAAAATTTTCTTTGTTTTTAAATGTAAACAAAAGAACATGTTCACAATTCAAACAGAAGATGGGCGCCTAAAAGTCGAGTAATGTACATTATTTTAGTAGATCAAGCTATTATTATTATTATCATAATTATTAAAGAACCCCTCGGCATTAAATGAAATAATTGGCGGCGCTTCTAACCATCGAAACGTATCCATGGGCATTTGGCAATGCGTTCCGCGAAGCCTTAGTTTAACCTGGTTCTTGTGATCAAACGAGTTCTCGAAGTAACGTGACGTATTTTTCCTACCCATTCCATTTCCTTTCACGTTCATCTCAATGTTTATTCTTTGCTTGTCTGTCTGTCTGCTTGTTTGTCCGTTTGTATCCATTAAACGTTAAATGGCTGAACCGATCGGGCCCAAATTTCGTGTGGGACCTCACATGACCCCAGGGAAGGTTTATGAATGCTCAGAATTAATAAAAGTTGCCTACAACAAAATTTTTCCCCTTAAGTATTGAAAATTCACGAGAATTTTTTTTCTTCGTTTTATTGAAGAGAAATTGCTGAAAACTATTAAAAAATAGAAGATGAGTGCGAAGTATAATATACATAAATAATAGTTTAGAATCCATACCTCGTGATCTTCGGACTCCAGGGGACTCTGTCATCCCTACAGTTTCACGGGGACTTCGAGTAGACTTCTTTAACAAAGAATCCATGTTTACTTTTACTTCCTTGACCTGGGGCCCAATTTAATGATTTGGAGAGGTCGCCGAACTACCCACCGCCGGTTTAAATCCTGAATGACAGACTCAAATCTTCATGAAACTTTCACATTGAATAAAGATTTGAACCCGCGAAAGGTAGTTCAGCGACCCAGCTCAAATTCCTTAGATTGGGTTTGTGGTAATTATCTATATAAAAAACTGAACTGTTGCTAAATATACAATATACATGTTATTGAGCATATTCCAATCATATTGTTTGTGTCGACTGACTTCTATTTTTAAAACGTTGTTATATTTAATAAATCCCCCCCCCCCTCCCCGCCCCATGCAGTGATTTTTTACGGAATTTTAATTGCTTAGGTGGGGAAAATAAATGATTTACTGAGACTATTCGGAGTAAATATTAGCAAATAGAGATAAATAAGGGGGGGGGATTTTTTAAGAAAATAGAGGAAAAATATATATATCTCTAGACCAACCTGATCTGGGGGTGTGGGAACCCGGAACAAACCAGAGCTTTTAGAGGGATCAAGAACATGGCTCTGAGACTGAAAACAAAAAACATCACTTTATTAAAATCGATTAAAGATTTATTTTCTTTAAATATCACCATAAAATATAGTGATAGAAATGGTGAATTAGTGAATCTATAGACTTTATACGGTCGATATTCTCAATATACCCCTCACTGGGGTCTAAAGATTTATTCACCGAAAAAACCAAATAAAAATGGAAGAATTTATTGCAAAAAAAGTCATTTTAAAATTTAATCAAAATTTACAAATAAAAATTTCTAAAAATTGTGAAAATATGTCAGTATTTATTATTTTTATTACCTCCATAGCTTCTGCTATATTTGAAAGATCAGGTACGCGCACAAGCGGACCATTCACAGTAGATTTACGTGCACCGCGCTTAGCCTTAGTTAAGGATTTCACATTTAAAATGGTTTATTCAAGGGACTGTAAATTCGCTGTTACCTCGAGAATCCTGACATTCAATTTGTCAGCTATAAAACAAGGATATCTACGTTGTCCTTTCATAAAAAAAAGTTGTTAACCCTATCACGATTGGAAGGGGTGTTTTCCACCCCCCCCCCTGCGGTTTCTTCTGAATAATTAAAAAAATGGCTTACATTAGAAAGCTAGAGGTCTAATTTTCTTTTTAATGAGCAAGTCTTGAAAAGTTGGACTTGTGACATGTATCACTCTCAACTATCTCAACTCTAAGGGCAAACTCATAAGGGGGGGGGGGAAACACCCCCCATCTTTATTAGACTAAAATAGCCCAATCGGGATAGGGTTAAGGACCAGACATTCCGCTCTACAAATAAGGATCATGAGGATCACTTGAAGTAATGTCTCAGCTTTACATGAACAGTAAAGATCTTTAAGAGAATTTAAATTGGAACCCTACTGCAGCCTAAACTTGCAATCCATTAATACGAGATTTGAATATATAAGAAAATGGGACTAGTTCAATCAAATATATTTGAAGTATATTCTATTTCAGGTTCATTATTGAGATGAGAGGCACCAGAACCCCACCCGTCAAGCTCACCCATGCTGCACACTGTGGCACACACTTATGTATAATTTATGTTGCTATAGTTTATCGAATAGCTTGAAAGTCAAAGAGAAATAGACACAACACACAATTTGTGTTTCTAGTTAATTCGACAATTTCAAATCTTCCACATTCTTCCTGGAACTCATAATACAAAGCATGTTCAGTTTGTTTAGTTGAAATCCTGCCTTAGTCTCCTCTAAAAGCGCTAACTTGTCATTCTCCTCCTCCTCTTCCATCTCCTGGTTCTCTAGCTCTTCTCCTAACTCGGGAATGTTTTCCTTCATACCTAAACACAAAAACTGAATGATAATGAAAACATTTATCACAACCTGCACTTTAAGTAGAACTGAGGAAATATCTTTGTTGAACAAAGTGAAGTTTTGTATGGAGAAAATACCATTAAATACAGGCATTAGACTGTCAACCTAGTTTCAATTTACTATTCAGATAAAAAGTTAGACCTAATTCACAACGGTACCCTTGAAGCCCTTGTCCGAACCATATTGAATTAAATTTACTTGTTTTTTATCTGAAAATTGTTAAAATTCCATGCCGGAATACTTTAAAAGTGTCTTACGGCCATTTCAGAGACAATTCTTGTTGAGACAAGAATTTCTATTTTTCCTTAATGTTATTCCGATAAAAGGCTATGGGTACCGTTGTGAATCTATCAGGTCTGCAACCCTTTAAATTGAGGATCACTGTAAATTATTGTACATTATATAAATACAGTCCCTTTAAGCTGGTTTAGAGAGTCGGCAAAGTAAATTAAAAAGCTGTAAACTTATCAGCTCACAGCCTGCCATATACTTTATTGCAGGTATTCCAAACCCATAATCCAAAGGTCCGGGACAAGACATTCTTCAATACAGGCCACAGGGATATATATTTTGCTAAATAATCAGTTCATTCCAAATTTAATTTTTCCCCTTAACTGAAGTAGAAATTGTTTTGGGCTTTTCAGCACTACATTGAAGAAAACAACTGCTTTTAACCGAACTGTAAGTTTAATTTTAAATGACCGTCCTGATTTACAACCGTACCCTTATAAGCTTGGTTTGATCAAGCTTGAATTAGATATGAATATTTGTGATTTTGAAAACTGATAATTTTCAATCGGGATCTTAACACTTTTAACTTCGAAAAACGACAATATTTTCCACAATAATGATTTGATAAAAGTTTTTAAGTCTACAGTCGTCAATCATACATTGTCATCTTAACATGGAGATTCACTTTAGATAAAGGTGAAAATGAATTAATTTAAAAACAGTGTTAAAAATGTGGATAAATAATAATAGAACAAAAATGACCTAGTTGTCTGATGCTAGGACTAGGTGTATTGATGATAGGACTGTAAATTAGTTCCTCAACTCTACTCTTCCCTTGTTCAACTAGACGCGCACCACCACTACGCCTCAAGCTAAGAGCTGCAGACTTCAAAACCTAAATTCAAGACTAATTTAGAAGTTCTGGCCTTGGTTCAGTTCAGTTTTTGAATAAATAATAGGACCACTATCTAGCTATCTATCTATTATGATGCTGCTGGTAGCGCTAACACTACCAGATCCCTACTCTTCGACCTGAGATGAGAAATTTAGAATGGATAACCTTCAATCCCGACTGCTTAATCCGAATATCCACTGTGGAAACTTTTAATTTTAGTCCTTAATCCAATCTTTTTCTCTCTCTTTGGATATCCGTACATTGTTTTATTCAATGAGAGTGCAGGAATATAGTTCGTAAATTGTATTGACCAATGACAGCCTTGAAAATAGATTCTATCCCATGAGAGATCTCCGCAATTTCTAACAAATAAAGAATTCGTTGTCAGCAGTTTCGTAAATTAATCGGTAAAGAAAAATATGAAATAATACGTTTGAGATTCTTTTTTAACTAATTTTAACTAATGTATAAATAAATAAATGTGTAAGAAATTAAGTGAAGGCCCTTCCAGTAAAGAAAACGAATAAATCTGGCACTCCTAGAATCAAATTTGTTGATCTAAATATTAAATCTCGAGATTATGTTAGTCTCGAAATTAGCAAAAAGAGAGGATTACGCATTTATCTCGATATCCACCATTCTAAAGTTCCCAGCTCCGGACTCTTCCATAGTTGGTGGTCCGGCTTGTTCCAGCTTATCATAGTGCAATGGTTTATGCTCGCCCGGGTGGCCACAGGGACATGAGTCCCACGTGGTTTTGTAACGAAAAACCGCAGCCAACTGGTGGTAAAATCTTCGGATTAATGTAAAAAAGTAGGGTTTTTATTTCTTTTATGACTATAATTCACTGGCAGTCTTGGTCTCTCAAGATAGAGACACTTTCGGATATTTACTTACATACCACTTATGATTACATTTCATCAGAAATTTAAAACAATCTTTACTAAGCTTTTCCATTTTTGATTTCTGCTATTTTTACTATCAAAAATGAATTTATAAAAGAGACATATTTTTGCTGGATGAATATTGAATATAGCCGCGTTATATCTATCTTTTATATAATAAAACAAGACATTCGTATATGTATATTTTGCGTATAGCTGGCCAAAAGGCTGGAACGATCGGACTGAAATTTTTTGTGGAAACTCATAGGTGGCCATGGGGTGTTCAAGGCTAAAAAATTGGAATTTTAAACAAATTGAAACTTTTTTTAATTTTTTAAATTTTTGTTTTTTCAGGGGCAACGCCGAGCCCTTCAGCTAGTATTTTATAAATTTCTAAGATTCACGAATAACATTGAAGTTTAAATTAACCCCCTTTTAAGAACTTTTTATACAAAAGATGAATTATTTTCCTACAATCCTACAAAAATCTAAATCTCAGAAATATGAATTTTTAAATAAATATCACAGAAAGATACCTTTTCGTCAACATTGTCGGCCTTATTGGAAGAAACATTCTCAGCTAGAGAAGCGTAGTTTCTCTCTTTCAAAGCGGACTGAATGTCTTCCTGTATGGACGGTAGCGTTGCATCAAGGATGGGTTGGGAGGGATGAGTTTTATTCCGGGTAGAATTAGATAGTTGGGATTCTTCTTCATCCGGAAGTAATGTATCATCTTCATCATCCAGTGAATCTAAAATGTAATTTCTTAAATAAAATAATTTAGTATTTTTCGCAATTAGCATTTAAATATTTGTAGTTTTGAGTTTTAGATAAAAAATTTAATTTCATCAAGTCTAATATTGGGGCTGTTTTCCTTTCTGTCTATTTTTATCTTAATTTTTTTTCCCGGAGGGTAAATGAAGCACAGGGTGTATAAAAAAAGTATTCCCGTCAATTATCTAGTTTCCTACTTTTCAAGATGGACGGTATAGAGATAGATCCAATCTGAACTAAGGATTGTTGGGATAGATTACTGAGGTCAAAATCCTCCAACATCTTCTTCTTCTTCTCCATCCTTCGTACCCGGCTAGGTAGACTCCTCTTTACATCACTAGAATCTACAATTTTTATGTAATCGTCATTCAAACAAACATTTTAATAACACAATAAATAAAACAATTCTGAGAAATAAAATTTAAGTTCGGGAACAGAAATGACCACAGATTAAAAACACGGGATAAAAATTGATATAAAAAATTCGAAATACCAACAGACCATACAAAATATACATTTTCTTGAAAAATCATTTTTCAATATGTAAGGAATATTAAATTCCCCTACCCCCCCCCCCAATGTTTGTTGAAAGTTTTACCGCTGAAAAAATTGCTTCGAAGAAAAGAAAAAATGTAGACAAAACTTAATAAGAAGAAGGGGGGGGGGTATTATTCTACAAAATAACTACCCCTGGATAACAAGGAACCACAAGGAACATAAACCTTGAGGGGTAGAAAGGATAAACTACCTGCTGCAGTGCTTAACTCTACATCCAGCACCTGAGTAATATCTTGTTTAGCTGTGGATGCATTACTAGTTTTATTACTGGCAAGATTTTCGATAGGTTCTGCTCCAGGACTAGCTACAGCTGACACAGATAGGTTTACTAGATCTACACGTAGTCTGGATTCTAAACAGACAAATTATCACTTCAACATTTATTCTTTAAATCAAACCAGATCATGTATAATCTTGTATTACATGTACCGTGGACCCCCCCTCCCCCCTCTAAAAAGTACAACCTCCCTCTATCTTGAACTAACCTAACTTGTAACTTTAAAATAGAATATTCAAGGGAGATTTTTCTGGAAGGAGGGATGGGGGAGGGGTCCATAATAATAATAAGAGGACAGGGCTATATTATGCAATGCAGGGAAGAATAAGTCCCATTTGTACTCTGGGATTTTTACCCCGATTCTAGTTAGAAAAACTGATAATCCATTCCAACAAAGGCTTAAAAATTTGACTGTTAAACTTACTTTTCACGCGAATCGCTGGACTTGGGGATACTCCTATGGACCCATTTTCTCCAATTGATCTGTTAGATAGCAACTTATCCGTGGATTTTTTTGCAGATTTAATAGCGGATTTATCGACAGACATGTTCGCAGATTTATTTGCAAGCTTGAAATGTTTAGTGCTTGACTGGTTTAATGATGTTTTAGAATATTCAGCTTCTCCTGTGGCTTCAGATACATCTTGGCTGTTGGTAATTGTCATTTCCATGGCCGACTTATGGATTGATCGTTCTCTTTTCCTGCCTTTCATTTGCTTAATCTCTGGGGAGGGCTCCAGTCCAGAATTGTCTTCTGATCTACCTTTTGTCTGATTTGAAGATTCTGCAATGTTATTGACACCATAAGATGTACTGGAGTTTACTTGGGCGGTGGCAGAAATCTCAGCAGTGTCCTCAAAAGTTACTTCCATGGCAGACATGTGCATAGAACGTTCTTTAATCCTTCTTGTTCTTGCTTTTATTACTGGAGAAGGATCAAGGTTGGATAAATCTCCGCCTACAGTCTGGTTTGACTGAAGTGGAGCAGGAGGCTCCAGGTTGGTGTCTGCCTGCTTAGGTTCATATTTCTTCACCATAGAGTTCTCAGGGGTTCGAATATCTGAGAGTTCGATCATTTGATTCTTCCTCTTTCTCTTCAGCCTAATCACAGGGGAGGGGGAAGGCTGTTCTGTATTTAACTTCCCCACCGGAGATGCAACAGTCATATCTTAAATATTAATATCATGTTATGAGGCCTCTTGGTTCTACAATTAACAGGGCTAAACAGTTTTTTGGATTTTAGGGGAAACATTATTTTTCAAAGAAAATTTGTTTTACAGAGTTTTGGGTAACAAATCTTTAAGGATTGTCCCTCCCCCCCCCCAAAAAAAAAATGTGACCAATGGAATATTCTTATTCCTTTTTGGAATTCTGATTTCAAAGGAGGGGGTTAATTCCTATTGTTTACCTGGGATTATTGGAATATTCTTATTCCTTCTTGGAATTCTGATTTCCGGGGAGGGAGTTAATTATTCTGATTTCAGGGGAGGGGGTTAAATCCGATTGTTTACCTGGAATTATTGGAATATTCTTATTCCTTCTTGTAATTCTGATTTCAGGGGAGGGGGTTAAATCCTGCAGTAGAGTTGTAGATTCAATAGTTCCATCAGATATCCGGGGGACCTCAAAAAAAATTAAGAGTTTTGAAAAGGAAATTTTTTAATCATGATTCATTTATTCAAATCAAAGAATTGATCAACTTTCTCATTACAGACTGTTTCATGAAGGTTATTAAGGTGCTCTGTTTATTAATAAACTATAAAAAAATAGCCCTGGAGAAAAGAAAAATTTACGAAAAATGTGGTGAACAATTTCAAAACTTGCTGGATCGTTAATTTTAATGAATCCCCACCACCGAAAAGTATTTTTTTTCTGCAACCTGGGTTTTTTGCAGTCTGCTTTTTAAAACAATTTTATTATGAGACATTTCAAAATGTGGAATCCCCATCTTGGTCCATGAGATTCCTAAAGCTTAAAATGTTTGTTTACCCGTACTGAAAAATCTAGATTGGGCCGGTTATCATTCTTACGCCTTTTCCTGGGAACCCTGACAGGAGGCAGCATAGTGGTGTCAGCATCAAAATCAGCATCCGTCAGGTTTCCTGCTTTTAATACAGAAATTTTATAACTAGGTTATCAAAAATAAGATTACACTGTAAATTCCTCAGTTTTCATTGGTGGTTTTCAAACCAGAAAAGTTCTTTTTTCTGACTGGCCATAAACTTTAATCAGACAAGATAGATAGTTCAATGTATTATTTGAAAAAAAAACTTTCGACTATAAAGATATATTGACACAGTTGCTTTGTAAAAATAAAAATGGCGAGGTGTTATTCTTTTTAATAAAACCACTGGAGTAAGCAAGTCTTAAATCTAAATAAACTGTCTGTGTACGTTTCGTTTTTTAAGGTATAAAAATGTTAAAAAATATCTGAATTCCCTGTCTTATTGATAGGTCTTGTAATATCTTTATCCAGATCCATCTCATCTGAGTTCAAAACCCTAAAACAAAAGAAAAATGTCCTTAAGTTAAAATAAACACTAAAATACAGGGTCTAGGCATCAAACGGCCAATGAACTATTTCAGGCCGCTGGAACAAAACCCCTTAAATTTTGATTTGAAGGGTAAAGCGTCAAAAATTCTGAGAAAATTGCATATCTGGAATCAGCGTTTTACACCGATTATTTTCTTATGGAACCTACCAAGGCATATTTTAAATCAAATCATGCTTGTTAAAACGACTGGAAATGGGCAGTTGGTTAAACTGAGTGGGAAAGACGACATTTAGGACCGACCCTGCAAAAACTCTATACTCTACTCTCTGCTACTGTACGCGGCCTTTGCCCGCCCACATGGCCACCTTCGGGCCCAAGGGATGACCCTGAAAAATCCCTTGACCCAAGTACAAAAGGTCTAGTGTGAGGTGTCCTACATGACACAAGCACATGGACTTGGTCCTTAGACTATGAAAAGATGTCCAGGCTACTGCATAACCTATGTGACCTACTAGATTCAGAGGCTGATCCTCAAGTTACTATTTGGAGAATTGTTGGGAAAATTATTCATATACAACCTCTCATCCCAACTGGCAGGTTCAACATCCACCATATTCTTGACCTAAACAGTGTTTCCACACCGCTATCAAACTCACTCCTCAATTAAAAAAGCAGATTTCTTCTGTTTCAGCATGCTCAGACTATGCTCTGGACGAGAGAAACTAATAAACTTGGACAAAAACCTTCCTCCCTGGGCCCTAAATGTTTACATGGATGCTGCAGTGCTTCAATGGAGACCATGGGCCTTGAAGTTGGCGCCGTCACAGGGCTAGTGGGCCTACATTCCATGATCCATAACCATTAACCTATGTAAACCAACACCAACTGGGAGAGCAGTTGGTAGAGCCCTGGATCTAGTTGGTCCCTTTCTAGAAGAATCTGGAGGCCACAAATGGACAAAAAACCGTTCAATTAACATCTGGGTGGACAATACGACCTCAGTCTTTAATCAGACAGCTGCTCTTGTACCCTGTCCACCACCCTAGTTTTAGCCATAGCCAGAGTTGCAGCTGACATAAGGATTCAAAATAAAGATTAGCTCAACTCCATTGGCTTCTTCAAGGTACAGTCTAGCTCATGCTTGTTTAGGCAACTAGACATAATGACAGTTTGTTAAAACGAGTGAGGAAGATAACAACCCTGCAGAAAATTATATTCTACTCTGTACTACTGTACACTGCCTTCACCCGCCCACATGGCCCACTCAGGCCCAGCTTTATTTTTCTCTCTCTACCTACCTACGGACCAGTCTCTCTTCTATCCTCAGCATGATCACTCCTTTCACTCTACCAGTTTCAAAGTAAAACCCACCCTCTGCTTTGAATATCAACCATAAATGCTCTGCGCATTGCTGAACATTTTTTGTTTGAATCTAAAATTTTGGTTCTCAGAAAACTTTAAACGTTGGCAATGGATGATTGAAGTTAAGAAAATTTCAATTACTTGATGCCCATTGGCATTATTGTCATTAATTTTAACTTACCGTGATCTTGATCTTGAGCTCCTGGAACTCCTGACTGGGTTTGGAGAACCTCGTGAGGATGAGGAAGAGAGGGATGATGCAGAAATATCCGAGATCACTGTAGATGCATTTATACCACTTACACCCCGCAAATATGAATATGATCCGCCTGCAGATTTTATCAATTTATTACCAGCTGTAAATGGTACAAACAAAATTTTAAAAAAGAAAACAAAATTTTTAAAACATCTGAATCTTTTTTTGAGGGTTTTACATTCCAAAAAATAAGATGGCGCCAAATTTCTTCTGGAATAATAGTGGGCTTAAATCAAAAGAAATTATAGAGAAATCAAATCAAATCAATTTAAAGAATTAAACTTAAAATAACAAAAAGATATCAAAATTATCAAATAACATTAAAATCTGAATTGTATGTTACCAAGATCCTGGTTTGTTTTCTGGGAAAGTTTCTGCGAGTTAAAAACTTCTGAAGGGGTAACAGCTTCATCTCCAAGAGCCTAGAGTTTTTAAAAGAACATTAAAAACCTTAAATTCAAAGGGGTAACAGCTTCATCTCCAAGAGCCTAGAGTTTTTAAAAGAACATTAAAAACCTTAAATTCAAACATTTATTAAAATATGAAAGTCCTTGAAGAATTGTCATTAAACCTTTGACAAAAAATAGATTTGTATTAAAATTTTTAGAAAAAAAAGTTCATTATTCATAATGATTAATTGTACAAGTTTTTTGTACACACCTTTATTGTATTAAATCTTTCACATACTCTTTGTGTTCCAACCAAAATAAAAATATTTTGTTTTCAAATTGTGTTAAATCAAGAAAAAAGAGAAAGATCTATACAATGGTTTATTTATTATGTGTTATGTACATACCGTCATAAAATTTGAAATAGCTGTTCTTGGAGTTATCTTGTCTTTAAACTCATACCAAACTGCCATAGCTCTTCCTTTCTTTTGCTCTGTATTCTCCAGACTACTAAAATGTACATATACTTAAAATTATGATAATTAAAAATTATAAAATGATGTTAAAAATCTCATTTCAATATACAAGTCAGTCCCTTGCCGAGTTATTTTAAATCAAATAAGGAAAGGTCTGAACTCTTTTTGTATATTCAGAGCAGTAACTTGTTGTACCCCTAAAAATATGGATTAATATTCTAGGAGAGACTAAAAATACAAAAAGTTAAAACCTCAGTTGTTTAAATCTTTGTTTGCAAAAAAACCTTGAAGCTTGATGTTGAAAACTAGATCATTTCAATGGGCTCATAAACGAAAAATTGTTTTTTAAGTGTTTACTTATTTGTTACAGTATCCAACCTGGAATTTGGTAATTTTTTATTTCAGATTCTTTGAAAAAGTGACCTACATAATTATTTCTAATACATAATTATTTCACAATAATTTCTAAATTTTACTTTGATTACTTAAAAGGATTTAAAATACACTAGGTCACTTCAATAAATATGAAAATAATAAATCTTTGAAGTAAAAAAACTTTAATTGGCTTTCTGGATCCGGATTTGCAAATATATGCGGATCCAATGATCCAAGGGCAAAGTATCAACCAAATATATGCGGATCCAATGATCCAAGGGCAAAGTATCAACCAAATATATGCGGATCCAATGATCCAAGGGCAAAGTATCAACCAAATATATGCGGATCCAATGATCCAAGGGCAAAGTATCAACCAATATATGCGGATCCAATGATCCAAGGGCAAAGTATCAACCAATATATGCGGATCCAATGATCCAAGGGCAAAGTATCAACCAAAAAATGCCAAAAAAAAACTGTTTTACTCTCATAATCCAAATCTGAACTATTGAAAAAAGAGATTTATAAAAATTTCCTGAAAGTTTCAGCATAAAAATACGCGAAGAAAAAAAGACAACAAATTTGAAAATTCCGCATCAAAATTAAATGAATCCTGAACACTGCTTTAATCAAACAAAGCTTTTAAAGATCTTGTACTCCATAAATTAAGAGTCATTTTGAAATTACCCCTTTAAGGTTTAATAAAACTGCCCTACCTGTTACTTTCAACTCCTGAGTTATTGAGCCGAGGAGTCTCAAGGCTTGAACTGTTACTCTTTGATTTATCCAGCTTGGATTTCTGTATCCTGGGGGCTTCCAGTTCAGATTTATTTCTACTAATCAAATATATATTTTCTACATATCCACTGACAGGATTAAATTGGAATTGAGTACAAGGTAAGGTTTTTCATCTGTAAACCTAACAATTGAATTCTTGATTTTGTTAGAAATCATGGAAATTACTTATCGTCAAAATTGGATGTGTCTGTATACTAAACTAAGCAAAGTATTCTATGAAAACTAAATAATTTAAATTTTATTTTCCGATATTTATAAGCTGAAGAAATTGAATGAGCGTTTTTAGAAGCCGACTTGTTCCTTTTCAACCTATCAGAGGTGATTGGGTTTAAAAAAGCAAAATTTTGGAACCAAGCAAAGAACCAGGCATAACTAAGACTCGAGGGTATGGAATGTTGGGTTGTACTTATAAATCTTGACCCAGATATCATTCTAATAACATCAACCTCGTAAACACACTGAAAGCTAAGCAAATTAAAATTAAATGTAGTTAAGTTATTTTATATTCCTTGATTTCTCAAGAACAGATTGATATAAGGATCTAGAGCTTCTGTCTGATACAGACCGCGGAGAACTTCTAAAATACAAAAACAAAATTAAACGCAAACCAGACAATGTTTAATGAGTCTGTCAGCATAAGTTAAAGTAACGCTTCATGAAAGATGACAATGCCCGACTCACACCAGTACCCTTGAAACCTTTATTCAATCAATTATGTGGATGTGGAACTAACCTATTATCATTTTCCTAGGTTATGTTAAATTCTGATAATTTCTAGATGCTTTCAAGAGACACTACAATACAAAATTATTAGGTTTCAGAACTATAAACATTGGTAACTATTTCATACGGGACCAAATTAAGGTTTACAGGGAACTATTGTGAATGGGTCATAGCCCATTTTGTATGAGGTGTCATATGAAAATACAATTCTGCTCCTTCGTATGAAAGAAAGCAACCACACAGTCAGTGTTTGGAAAAATATATCATAAAAAGGACAGGGGTATACGTAACTTCTGGCGTAAAAAAACGATTTTAAAAAGAGGGGGGGGGAGGATTTTTATGAAAATATTCACCCCTGTTTATTTCAATAATAATACCTTGATCCCTATTTTTAATACTCTGGGGGAAAAAAATATTGGATTGCAGGTAAATTATTTGAATATTTTCCCCAAATTTGTTTATCTTCCTTGATTCAGAAATAAAACCATTAAAAAAACCTAGCATAGCATTATGGGTAAGTAAGATGATATTTAAAATGAGGGTTGGGGGGAAAAAAGATTTTCAAGATAATGTATCATAAAAGAAAACGAAAACATATACAAGATGAGTAAAGGAGTGAATGGGGGGGGGGCCTAGAAAAATGTACTCCAATAAATTTGAAATTACCTCGTTGGGGGAGACTTCCCTTTACTTCCTTTTCCTCTCATTATTATCACTTTTTAAAGGCTTCCTTAATTCTAGATCTATAGAAAGTTTACATATTTTTCTGAAATATATAAAAATCAAAATAAATGACTTTGATGCATATTATTATACAACAGTAGATACTTGGCAGCCGCTGAAAGAACCAGAAACTTGATCTAGTGTTTTAAAACCTAACAACTAAGTGCCCAAGAACAGGTGTGAAATATTATAATGTAGATGAAAAAAATTAAGGCTAAGAAGCTGTGAGAAGCAGCACCACTATGATAACCTAACAGCTCCTCCTTCCACAAGATGTGAAACTGATGAGTACTGAACTAGGTGCTGTTCACCAACTTCTAGATCTATCGTTTCATCACGACCAGCTCCAGCACCATCCCTAGAGAGAATAAATGAATGAAAGGATGAATCAATCAATCAACCAAATAATCAATCAATCAAGGTACTAATGCAAGGAAAGTTAATTGGAGTAGCGTATACTCTGTGTACATACTGAAACCAGTTCTCTCTATGCGGTATTTGTAAACAAGAATAGTTGCATCAGTGTTCGTTTAGTATCCGAGGAGGATAAAAGCATTTAATTTTGATAATTTTGATAATTCACATAATACTTTCCTATGACCAGAATATTTCATTGATTTTTTTTTTACGTGGAAGATGGATCCCATGCCAGGCTGTGACATCTTTCTTGTGTTTGCATTAATGCCCAGAGACAGTACACTGCAGTACAAAATTTGCTTACACCTCTGAAATAACTTTCCTTGCATTATAACCTTGAAATGAATGAATGAATCAATAAATTAAGCACGCAACCAACCAACTAATCAATCAATCAACCAATCAATCAATAAATCACCAATCAATCTCCCGTAGCCATATCTTAAAGAATCTCGGCAACAACATAAACAATAACAAGCTGGTATAGTAATACGTGCCTTATCTCTAGTCCATCTATATCCTGGAGAACTTTGATGAATACAGCAGACTGAAAATTAGGTTGAGGAGGTTTTATGCCTGTTTTTCCAAGATCAAAACTACCTAAACATTTAAACATCGTCAATTTGGTTTTCATTGGAACCAGGTTCAATTTTCAAAAATTAATTCAATTTACAAAATTCAAAAATATCAAAGGTTAACATAATTTGATGAAATCTTTAAGAGAAAAAATATTTTTGCCCAGAACTTATCCATTTTTCAATATTTTAAATTCTGTAAACTGATTTTCAGATGTTTCAACTCTATCTCTTGATTTTTCACAGTTCCCGGTAAATAATTCTTATTATTGTCAGTTGTCACCTAGTTCGTGGATCTATCTATCTATCAAGTTCCTGGTAAATAATTCTTATTGTTGTCACCTAGTTCGAGGATCTATCTATCTATCAAGTTCCTGGTAAATAATTCTTATTGTTGTCACCTAATTCATGGATAATCATATTTATTTCACGAAATGGGTGCGAATAATAAGCATTATTGCCGATTTGGCTATGTAGTAAATCCGATAAGAATGTGGTATAATACAATACACATCTGTCAAATGTTTTTAGAAAAATATTTCCCTTTACTAAACATCTACAGATTAAACAATTGGGCGCAAAACTGTTTTTATTACAATTCATATTTAAAATTGTCCAAATAAAATACTGTAAAAAAGTTTAACATTTAATAATTTCATTTAATTTCCCCCCGCTGAATATCATTTATCTTCTTTAATTCCGCGCATAGAATACCCAACGTCCGGTGGATGGGAGGGGGGGTTTAATAAAGGTCACCGACCAAAATCTTAAACCAACCCTGGATGTTGATAATTTTAATCTTAAAGATTTATGATATCATCAAAACTGTTTTAAGTCACCTGGAAGATGCCGCAAACAAAGAGTATGAAATAGTTCCCCTACACTTTCCTGGTACTGAAAGCAAATTATCTTATTTCAGTGAATTTTCCCATACATATTTCTAGTTAGAAATTTTCTTTCAGACCGGAAAACCGAAAAACTTGCATAAAACTTTTCCGCTTTTTGGCCAACAGTACGGAACCATGTTGCCCTTAACAGAGGGCCGTAAAGTTATTAACGTCCCTTGGGAGAATTTAGTAAATTAACCACCCACTCTGCTAAGTTTTCAAGAAAAAACTACTTTTTCCGGAAATTAAACATTTACTTTACCACGGGTTCCCTAGACCATCTTTGCCTTCGGGAACCCTTGGTAAAGTAAACTTCCCAGTAAATAATTTATATTTTCAACGCCAAAAAATGTTAAGTTTAGTTAATAATGAATGTTAAGTTAAACAATTTCTCTTTTTCTGCTAATTTATGTCTTTTTGTCTGATTGGACATCATGTTTTGAAGGAACTGACAAAATACCAGAATACAAATTACCTTGGCAAGAAACTCTGATTCTTCTTTTGATAATTTACTGGGATTATCAGCAGTTCCCTGAAAACAAANAAACCAGGTCTAATACTCAAAATTGTCAGTAAGCCGCGGTTTAAATATGGTTGGTTCCACTTAAAATTGTATCAAATGTTTCAAGATTTAAGCCGGCGCTGAATTTAAACCGGGTTTTGGCAGATTTAAACCGCGGCTCAAATTCTTTAAATTCCATCTCTGGTTGGTTTCAATGTAGAATCAGGCTCAATATTGAGTCTTGTTCTCATCAAAACCCAGAATGCGCCAATTCCTACAATGAAATCCGCCAAACCGGTTTAATGAACTCAACTCTGTGGAAAATAAGATGCAGCTTTAATCCGAAAGCTCAAGTCGTTAATAAAGTTCAACGACAGCTTAGACCCGAGCCGTATTTTCACGAGATTTTTAAATCGCGGGCTCTGGTAGAAATTACTAAAAAGGGAAGTACTCAGAACTAGTTACGGATAATTTAACTCAAGTCAGAACTTTTGTGTTGTTAATCTTAAGATCAAGCATTGATCTTCATTCTTAACTGATATCCTGTGATGGTTATACCCTGTAGGGATAACTTTAATTAAAGGATCAAGCAGAGTTCAATTACTTCTCGCGTTTCATTAAACCCTAAAAATCTTTTCAGTTTTGAGACGGAAATTTACAAATGCGAACCATTAGAAATTTATCTTTCATGGATTGTCAAGAAAATACAATGAAACAAGGCTACCTGTGAATAAAAGTAGAAATTATTCTGTATTTTATCCAGTCTTGTTCTTAGGTAAGAATTAATTAGAAACCGTATTCTAGATAATTCCATCTTGTGTAGACTTATTCTAATATCTCCTAAAGAAATAATATTTCAGAACCGGTGTATTAATATTATTAAAATTATCAACCTTTCATGAATCAATTGTTTTCACGGATTTATAAAAAGTTGTTATAAATTGAACAATTTTGTAAAATAAAGTATAATCCTAAGAAGCAACAATAATTTTCAAGAACTCAATTCCCAATTTTTCTTATTCCCCCCAATCTTCAAATCTTCAAATGTAATTTTCTAACGTGCATTTATTTCTCCAAGTGGCAACTATGCAGTTTCCTAAACACATCGTTAAAGATGTATCTTGGGGAAAAGTTTGCGTGTAAAAATCTTCTAAAAACTAACATCTAAAATTCTGTAAATATAAGCTTAATAAGGTGCAACAAGTTTTATATATGGAAACAAACTCATTCTTACCTTTGGCTAAGGTTTCCAGGTTATCATTCATAGTTGATATTTGTTCTAACATACACTCAACTATCTAGACAATATATATTTAGTTGATATTTGTTCTAACATACACTCAACTATCTAGACAATATATATATACTTCTTCTAACATACACTCAACTATCTAGACAATATATATTTAGTTGATATTTGTTCTAACATAAACTCAACTATCTAAACAATATATACAGTTGATATTTATTCTAAAATACACTCAACTTTCTAGACAATATAAAACTCTCAGGAATCAAATTCCTTACAAAATTAGAATTAGATGGACTAGAATTTCAACAAGTGAGGAATTTATAGAAAAAAAAATCAACTAGTGTAGGTTTTTTATCAAATCTTTCAGTTTTGTAAAACAAGGTATCAAACGTAAAGATATTAAAACAAAATCCCTCCCTCAGTCTACAGTCAGCAGTAAACAGTGTCCGAATTTAATGAATTTAAGCCACGTCTCAAATCTTCCAAAGCCGGTTTTAATTGACCGCCGGCTTAAATCTTTAAAAATTTAATCAAATTTAAGTGGAACCAACCATATTTGAGCCGCGGCTTAAATTTAAACCGTGGCTCAAATTCTTTAAATTCGGCCTCTGAACACACTACGAGACTTGTTTCCTAAATAAATGGACTGTCGATGTAAAATTAAGACTTATGATAAGTGACCCTATTTTTATTGAATTCCCGACTCATAAATATGCCTTTTCTGTCTGAGTAACAATGAGAAAGAAATCGCCGTGTTACTATTGCTAAATAAGTGATTTATGAATTTACAGCAAGATAAGAAAGAAATTCACAGAATTGAAGCTTTACAAGTTCAAGCGTAAAAAAATGTCGGTATCCAAATTATTCCTCAATTATCTCCGAAAACAAGCTTTAAAAGGATACCGTTTTGAATCAGAATGGAACTTTTTTAAGAAATATTATTAACCTAAAAAATGGACATTTTAAATATAACAAAAAAATATCTATTGTACCATCACGCAACTCTGATCCTATATGTTTGCAAAATCAAGAAATAAAAATTTTGAAGAGAAAAATGTGCATACCTCCATTTTAGGTTCAAGAAGTTCTGGAGAATTCTTTTCATTGATCCAGGCCTCCTGAAGTTTGGCCAGAACCTCTTCAGCTGTCAACTCCTCAACCTGGAGTAGGAGAGAGGGGATTAATGTACTTCAGATTTTACAAACTGGATCTAGAAAAATCTTAAATTTGACATTCAAGTGGCCCAGAAATTGTCTTAATCTAAACCTAACCCTGGAATAATGTAAAATTAATACTAATTTAGATGAAAATAGTTAAAATAATCCAGGGTCGTAGCGCTCAGCCACCTTGTACATTTATTATTATTGAGGATTAGGTTAGGGTGAGATAATTTCTGGGCCGAGAGGCTAGGATGGGCTAGGGGGCCGAGCGCCGCGGCTAAGACAGGCTAGGGGGCCGAGCGCCGCGGCTAGGACAGGCTAGGCGGCCGAGCTCTCCACAAAATATCGTGCTTCTAGAAATTCCATTATTAATTTTGTTTAAATTAGTTGAACTCGAATTCATGCACAAAAATATAGGTGTGGGGGGGGGGTCGGGGGGCTAAAAAATCTTATTCTAGGACTGAAAAGTGTTTCGAAACCCTGTTGCAAGAGAAAGAAAAAAAACGCTATGTGATTGTCTGCAAAAACGGCCAAATCATGTTATGTTTTAAGGTTATATTTGTACAACAATTTATAATGCATTGCACTGTACTTAATAAAATTGAAGGTCACAAGGTGTGCTTCACAAATCTGAATACACTTACCTCCTCCTCCACCCGAGAATCATCAAATATATCCGTAAGATCGTCCATTATAGCTGAAAAAGGTAGAAAATAACGATTTATTCACAGTAAGTTATTTTATTACAACATAAACAATTATTTACACTTAACTTTTAATTAAATTGCACAACGCTTATTCACAGATTTTATTTGAAGTCGAAAATAATTTATCCTCCTGTTTCACAATGTTTACCAGGATCGGAATGTTCGGTTTTGAATTGGTATTGGCGGATTCCGTTAGAGAATATTTCGCGGTTTCTGAGCACACAAACAAAGACGACGAAACGCTAAACTTGCGACCTACGCAAATCCGCTATATTCCACTTCTGACCTATGCCAAAACCGCTATTACTACACATCCGACCTACTAGCACGTGGTTTTACTGCTACTATATTGGGGTCCGTCCTAGCATACGATTTTTGGACCCCCCGCCCCCCCCACTCCTATCAATTTTGTACATGACCTTTAATTTTTTTTAAGTTATTTGTATTATTTAGGGTTAGGTTAGTTAAGACACTTTCTGGGCCGAGCGCTGCGGCTAGGACAGGCTAGGGGGCCGCACGCTGCGGCTACGGGTTAGGTTAAGTTAATACACTTTCTGTATATAAAATCGTTCTCTAAGAAATTACCCTATTTAGATTTTGATATTTTCAAAATCTCCAACATTCCCTCTCACCCTTCATTAACGATACAAGCGTAGGAGTTCCCCCACCCCTACCTGCCCCCTATCCGCAGGGGTTAGGGGAAAACTTATAATAGGAAGTGGGGAAAGTGGTCCCTGGACTCTCATTTTAACAAAAAAAAATTAACTAATTACAACTTTTTTAATGAAACAACCTTTTTTGGAACATTTAAAAATCTTTTATTATGAAAAAAAAAATTGTTTAAGTGGAAGTTCCAGAGTCCAAGGTAGTTTCAGGGCCAGGCAGTTGTTCTGGGAACTTAGTGGAGGAGGGTAGTGCTTTGATTTCAATGCAGATAAAGGCATAGATTCATGCATGATTGTAAAGTCCTTAGATTATATTGTGTAGTGCTTATTCATATATATTATATACATGTATGCATGATTGTATAGTGCTTATATGTATTATATACATGTATGCATGATTGTGTAGTGCTTATTCATATATATTATGTACATGTATGCATGATTGTATAGTGCTTATATATATTATATACAAGTATACATGATTGTATGTATAGTGCTATATATTATATACAGGTATGCATGATTGTGTAGTGCTTATATATATTATATACAAGTATACATGATTGCATATATAGTGCATACATATATATATTATATACATGTATGCATGATTGTGTAGTTCTTATATATATTATATACAAGTATACATGATTGTATATATAGTGCATACATATATATATTATATACAATACAGGTATGCATGATTGTATAGTGCATACATATATATATTATAAACATGTATGCAGGATTGTGTAGTGCTTATATATATTATATACAAGTATACATGATTGTATATATAGTGCATACATATATATTATATACAATACAGGTATGCATGATTGTATAGTGCATACATATATATATTATATACAGGTATGCATGATTGTATAGTTCATATATATTTATATATTATATACAAGTATACATGATTGTATAGTGCTTATATTTATTTATATTATATACAGGTATGCATGATTGTATAAGTTCATATAATATATATATTTCTAGTTTAGAACTTTAAATTGTTTATATATATATTTCTAGTTAAGAACTTTAAATTGTTTTTATATATATTTCTAGCTTTTTTATGTTCTGTTTGAGAATTCTAACAAATATGTATACGTATGTACATTTATACAATAAATACATATCACGAGCAGCTGTAGTATATATGAATTTCCGAGCCGGGTCAACCTTTTCGGTTCTAGTTTGTACTGTACCTAGCTCTATGGACAGGACTAGCCGGTGCAACAAGGTTGGCGCGGTCAGACTTTATGCTTCATATAGGTTGAATTTACTTTTACTAAAGGGGCAGATGTGTGAAATATTTATATAAAACAATAGTTCTGAAGTTTAGAGGAATCATGACGATTAGAGTAGTTTTTATTATTCAAGATTATGGTAAAAAAAATGTTTGCTTTATAACAACATCAAATACACATATATTATTAAAATGTCGTCTTCCAATTCCACATTTATATAGTCCGGGCAGTTTCAAACTAACATTTTTTGCACAAAGAGAGGAACACATAATTTTGATTCGTTGTAATCCGAAAAAAAACATTGATTCAACACACTTTCTAAAATCTTTAAGGAAATTGATAGAAAAATGTTTAAAAATTTCTTCAGATATACAGAATAAAAATGGAATCTGCCAGTGCTGGAAAAAGTAATATATTAGAGGTAATGACAACTTTCTTTTCCTAAATACCTAAAATATATTACCTAATTTAGAATATGCCTAAATAATTTTCCCTAATTTTATCCTACTCCAGATCACTACTCCTTAAAAAACCTTTCCTAAACCCGGCCAACTCTGAACCATTCCAAAATTAACCTTCCTAATCCTTCCGCAGTCTAGATCATTTCTAAAAAAAAAATTAAATCCTAACCTATTCTAGACCCTTCCTGTGAACCCTTCCCAGGCTTTAAATCAGGGAGCCGATTTCTTAGCCTAACTTACTCTAAACCAATCCTAGAGAATCACAATCCTAATCCTTCCCTGAACTAGACAATATGTAATGAATTATGTAATCATGCGAGTAATGTCTTTATTATCTATGTTCGTTGATCTATCATATCTATGTTTCATGTTGACCCTGACCGGCCATTCCGGTCAGTTCTATTTACTAGTATTAATAAAGTAGTATAGTACGAACAGTCGATTTAGACGGACGTATATAGAGCCTTGAGTTTTGGCTAGAGACTGACATTAGACTAAGAGTCAAGTATTCGGAGATTTTTCGGGGCCTAGATTCATTACAAATATCTTAAATGCCCCCTTCCCAAACCTTCCTTAGTTTAAACATTTGTAATGAAGTCACTTTTTCCAACCCAATCTAATCCAGCCTAATATGTAAATGTCTATTACTAAATAGCTTTAAAATGTAAATGTCTATTACTAAATAGCTCTAATACATAAATGTCTATTACTAAATAGCTCTAATATGTAAATGTCTATTACTAAAAAAAAGTAAAAGTGAGTTAAAAGTTAAGTGAGGTAAAATCAAGGACCAAGGCGTTGCGACACTCTAAAGTCGATTCAGTCTTGGATATTGATGCAACTTTTTATAGTAGTCTGGATCTATGTATCCTGCCAACTCAATTGGGCATTCCGTAATAGGACTCCAATGTAATCTTTCCCTGCTCTAGACAATACCTTGGGAAAGAGGTTTTTAAATCCTTCCTATACTCTAGACAATACCTAGAGAAAAAGGTTCCTAACCCCTGCACACTCCAGACAATACTTAGAGAAAAGTATTCCTAATCCCTTCATACTCCAGACAATACTTAGAGAGATAGGTTCCTTATCCCTTCATACTCCAGACAATACTTAGAGAAAAAGGTTCCTAACCCCTGCACACTCCAGACAATACTTAGAGAAAAGTATTCCTAATCCCTTCATACTCCAGACAATACTTTGAGAGATAGGTTCTTAACCCCTTTTATCCTTAGACAATACCTGGAGAAATAGGTTCCTTATCCCTTCATTCTCTAGAAAATACCTGGAGAAAAAGCTTCCTAATCCCTTTTTTTTCTCTAGACAATATCTAGAGAAATAAGTTCCTTATCCCTTCATTCTCTAGACAATACCTAGAGAAATAAGTTCCTTATCCCTTCATTCTCTAGACAATACCTGGAGAAAAAGCTTCCTAATCCCTTTTTTTTTCTCTAGACAATACCTAGAGAAAATGGTTCCTAACCAGTGTCAACTCTAGAAAATATTTAGACTAAAAGATTCCTAAGCACTGCTAGCTCTAGACAATACCTAGAGAAAAAGGTTCTTAACTCCTGTCTATATTCTAGAAATACATAGAGTAAAGGGTTCCTAACCCTTGCTAACTCTAGACAATACCTAGAGAAAAAGATTCTGAACTCCTACCTATACTCTAGAAAATACTTAAAGTAAAGGGTTCCTAACCTCTGTCAACTCTAGACAAAACCTAGAGAAAAAGGTTCTTAACTTCTGCCTATACTCTAGAGATACATAGAGTAATGGGCTCCTAACCCTTGCTAACTCTTATAGACAATGCCTAGAGAAAAAGGTTCCTAACCCTGGTTACTTTAGACAATACTTAGAGAAAAAGGACCTAACCCCTGTCAACTCTAAACAATACCCAGAGAAAAGGTTCCTACCCCCTGGTTACTCTAGGTAATACCTGGAGAGGACTGGTGGTGGGCAAGCTGGAGTATTCTCTGTACTGCTTCTCTTATACTCAACCTTCTCTTTATAGTTGTAGCAGTTAAACAAAGGTAATTTTTCTAGAAATGAAATGTTCTTATCTTAAATCTATTTGAGGAAAAGTTAATTCGATTTACCATTTACCAACTATCTTAAATATGCCATGTTGCTTTTAATTCAAATAATTTGGTACGACTCTGTTGCCTCTTTTAAAACACGTAAAAATAATTAAAAATAAATGTCTCTATCAAGGCCCGTAGCTAGTCCCCTAAAACTACGGGCCTGGATGAAGGCATTCAGTTTTAATTATTTTTACATTTTTAGAGAGGCACGTGCACCCCTCCTTTTCTTACAGGGGGCATAGTTCATCTGAGACAAATCTTGAACTCGAAATCCACCGCCGAGACTTTTAATTTAAAGCGATAAAGTCATATTTTTGCGAAATCTCATTGGCTGTGATCAATTGTTGTATGGCTTGGTCTAGCCTTTAAATTCATTTGTCTTTATTTATCAGATCACGAATGATATTGTTTATTGTTTTGTTTTTTACGATTCAAAAGTTGTGATTTATTTTGCAGAAAGAGTCGGGATCTGAGAAATCTGTTGACGGCGACCCTGATCACCCTGGCAGTGGTGGACCTGCTGGACTTGGTGAGGATCCTCTCCAGTATCCTCACCACCCTGCACCAGTATACTCAGGTATATCACAGTAAATCCATTAGGCATCACATATTATTGGGACCGGATCGACTTTAGTGACTTGATTTTACGTTGACAAGAAATAATATGTATTGATAGGTGAAAAACATTTAGTTTTATTATATTGCAGTACCGTACTACGTACATTACGTACTACAACCTAAGGGTATTCCCCGAGTTTGGTATAAAACTTCTTCGAATTAATTATGTATATTGCAGTACCGTATAACGTACTGCAGCCTAGGGGTGTTCCACGAGGTGGGTGTGACAATTCTTCTAATTATGTATATTGCAGTACCGTATAACGTACTGCAGCCTAGGGGTGTTCCACGAGGTGGGTGTTGCACTTCTTCTAATTATGGCAACCCTGTATCTCATCTTCCCTTGCAGGTATAAAAGTAAGCTGTCTGCCCTCAGGTTAGAATTAATAAATATCAAGAATTAGTTGAACTAGGTACATATAGTTGAACTACTTCTCTTCTTCCACGATAGAAGTAGTTCAACAGACTAAATCTAGTTCAAATGCTTTTTACTGTTTATTAATTCCGACCTCAGTAAATATAAAACAGAGTTAATAAATTCAAACAAACTCATTTAAATTGTTCTTTATTTTCTTTTAGTTTTTAACAATTTTTTTTATCGATTTTGATGGTTATTATATCGTTAGAATTGACGAGGGTCAACGCAGACCGAAATATAATTTCAATAAATATGGAATTAACATCTAATTTTTTACTCAACAGAGGTTTGGTCCATCATCACCATCACCGAATTTTAAATTGTCCTTAATTGTTTTTAAATCAATCCAAAGTGTTTTAAATTCTCTGTTATGGAAGCAAAAATGTTTTTTTAAATACTCATGATAAAAGGAATTTTTCAGATTTAGAATTCCAATTATGAAGATAAATAAATAGGTTTAAATTCAATGTTAAACTTTTCAACATTTTCACATTCATTTTTTTACTAAAAACAAATTTTAGATTAAAATTATATATTCTTTTTGTAGTTAATTTACATATTTGACAGTATAATAATGATAACGTATATAACAAGAAATTCGTTTATATGTTCCCTCTGGCCGGCCAAACGGTTGGACCGAATGGATTGATTTTTTTTGTGGACACTCATCCCCAGGGGCAACGCCGCCGGGCCTTTTAGTTAGTATTGTTAAATATTTAAATATAAATAGATATAATTCTTTCAGGGATTCTCCTCCCTTGTATTACCCAGCTTCTACATGTTCAGGCTCTCTACCACAAAAGGTAAAAATAAATTTTAAATTATTCTGTTAATTCTTGAAATTTGCTGATAATTAAAAATTTTCAAAGCCATTAATCAACTTCAATTTGGTTTCCAGTTCAGAACAAAAATTGAGATCATAACAGAATTTTCAGCTCAAATAACTTTAAAACTTTATATAAATGTTTTTTGTCATGCGATGTCACTTGCTCGGCTTAACTAAATCTGTTAATGAAGTTTAAATAAAAAACGTTTTTTAACAAAAACAAAATGAAAATGTTTCCGAATTTTAATTCAGAAAATTTAGATTTAAATTTTTAAGGTTTTACTCCCCCTGGTTATCCTAGTAGCTGGAGGAACTGGAGCAGTGGTTTATTTGCTCCCGGAGCTATCAGAGCAAATCACAGATACGGAGAACATGGTCCCACACTCATGTCTAGATTATACAAGGTTATCATCATTATCATCATTATCATCATTATCATCATAATCATCATTATCATCATTATCCTAAGTATAAAACATAAAATTTTGTTCTCTGAAAGGCTCTCTGTAAAACTTCACTTATTACAAATTTGAAATGTTTTTTTTCCCTCCTAAAGAAGGGCCCTCAATGTAACCCTTTAAATAAATGTTTCTGTGAAGGGCCCTATATGTGACTGATGAGAATAATATTCTATTTTGGAGTGATCTCTACCAAACCTTAAAGTTTCAAACCCATTTCCTCCAATTTAATTCAGAATTATAATGTCTAATACGACTTAAAATTAAAACATAAGTAAGGACATACTAAGACTGTAATTTATTTGTCCTATTTGGTGTCTATATATAGATTATATTGAGCTGTATGTAGAATGCCGGGGAGATTCTGTGCGTTCTTCTTGTTATGTTCCTATACCTGGGAACCATAGTTGCTGTCGTCTTCCCTAGGTATCTATACTATCTATCTAAATATTTATCTATCTATCTATCTATCTATCTATCTATCTATCTATCTATCTATCTATCTATCTATCTATCTTTCTGTCTGTCTGTCTATCTATCTATCTATCTATCTATCTATCTAAGCTATTTCTAGGATAGATGAAGAACTAAAGCTGAAAACCTATAATCTACCCTCTGCTCCGACCCTCTGGGAACTAGCTAATGGAGTCGGCAGACCGGTTTGTATATACAATAAAGCTCTTCGCTCATATATATATATATATATTTGTATATTTGTATTTATATATGTTAGCTATAGTTGGCCTAAATAGGCTTCAAACAAAGTCCGAATTTTTTCTTTTCTTTTAAAATTCGATTTTTTTTCAAAAATCAATTTTTTTAACTTCAGCTAGTATTATATAAAATAAATATTTTCGTAATCATCAATTAAAAAATGATTTTCTCAAAATTTTTGTTCATTTTTCATCTTTTCCGTGGCTTCCTCACTGAACAATCTTTCAGTAAAATCGTTCGTTTAATAACAAAAAAGCGAAATTTTTTCAAATATTTGTTAGAAAAAGTCGTTCATTCAGTTAAAAAACTATCGTTTTTCAAAATCCTTTGGAAAATTAGTTCTTTCAGTAAAAAAACGATAGTTTTTTAAAGTTCCTTCCACCGATTTTAAATCGTTTAGTTCTCTGAACGATCCATTTCGTTCGTCCATCGTTCTTTTTTTCTAAGCGACACCCTTTTCGTTCGTTTTAAAAAAATTTGTTTTAAATTTAAAAAAAAAACGATGCCCATGTCTATGCCTCTAGCTGCTGCAGGTCAGACCAGTACTTTAATTGAACAGGAGGAGGTTACCGTGAGATCTGACTATTAAAAAGTTTGCTCAATGGAGTTTGGGATGGAATAAAACGTTTATAAACGTATATATATATATATATATATATNATCACATTCAGTGCTTAGGATCCGGATCCATTGGATCTGCAAAATTTAGTTCTCCATATTCAATAAATATAGTTCCGGATCTATTCGTATTTGATTATTTCTAGGTCTGGATCTAGTTCTATGCGGGATGAGGAGATGCAGGCGCTAGCTCCAGTTGTTGAAAGAGTTTCATCTCTTTAAAACTGATAAATTAACAACTTCAGAACGCTTGCCCGGGAGTAGAATATCATCTTTGAAACTCTTTCCCGGGCATAGTATACCATCTTTGAAACTCTTTCCTTACCATTCTCAAAACTCTTGCCCGGGCGTAGAATACCATCCTAAAAACTCTTGCCCGGGCGTAAAATATCATCTTTAAAACTCTTGTAAAGGCGTAGAATAGCATTTTCAAAACTCTTGCCCGGGCGTAGAATACCATCCTTAAAACTCTTGCGCGGGCGTAAATTAACAACTTCAGATCGCTTGCCCGGGCATGGAATACCATCTTTATTCTTTCCCGGGCGTAGAATACCATTTTCAAAACTCTTGCTCGGGCGTAGAATAGCAACTTTAAAACTCTTGCCCGGGCGTAGAATAGCATCTTTTAAAATCTTTCCCTGGCGTAAAATATCATTTTCAAAACTCTTGGCCGGGCGTAGAATACCATTTAAAAACTCTTGCCCGGGTGTAGAATTGCAACTTTAAAACTCTTGCCAAGGCGTAGAATACCATTTCCAAAACTCTTGCCCGGGCGTAGAATACCATCTTTAAAACTCTTGCCCGGGTGTAGAATAACATCTTAAAAACTCTTTAAGACGTAGAACGGCATCTTTAAAACTCTGTAAGACGTAATAAAAATACATTTTTTAAAGAAATTGGAATGTGTTTATTAAAAGGGGTTGAAGAAATCAAGCAGATGTCTATGCAGATGCTGTGGACTGTATTTTTAAGATATAATGACCCCCTTTTAATATATTTTTGTCTTTCCATTTATAAAAGACAACAAATTCAAAAAGAAGTTTTAATCAGAAAAAAATTAATGAAAACATTTTTGCCATAAATAACAATATGCTTCCCCTTGTTTTGAGTGCGTTAAAACAAAACTTAACAACTTTTTTACTTTTTTGTAACGTACAATGTACAAAAAAGAGATAAAAAACAAATTTTTAAAATAATTTTTCTTATAATACATTCGATTCTTTATCGATCTATCGTTGATTCTTGCCTTTTATTATTTTAAAACTTGTCTTTTATTACGATGCGCAAATATTCTGCCACATCAAACGGCTGAAAAAAGTCACCAAATAAAACATCTTTATTATTTATTTTCTCAAACCATCTAAATCTTGCTCTAAAGTCCAAATTAAAGAAAAGCATTTCAACAAATTTTAAGAAAACATCATATACGTTTGAATCTAAAAAATCCAAATACAAATAAATCATTTAAACAAATGTTTAGAAAAATAAATGCGTTTGAATCTATACTTTATATCTGTAAAAATGTTTACAAAACAAATTCATGTAAACTAACTTATTAAAAGTGCTGCTAATATCAACAATTGTAAATATAAATAAATTTAAGAAAATAAATCTAGAAAGTCCAAATGAAATATATATTACAAGGTTGAATTTTATTATTTTTGCTATATTTTGCTGTTCTAGAAACTGGTTGGATTACCCAGCGTTGCCCTGTAGGTTTATATTATTATTCATTGTCATTGTTTCTATTCGCACTTGGTATTAAAATATGTTTTCTGATTTTTATACGTGAATTATTCTCTGGGCGCGGTTTTTTTATTTTCCAGCCAATTTGGTCCAGCCGTTTCGCCAGCTTTATTATTAGATTCAACATTTAGTTTGCACATCGATACATTGTTGGTAGAAACAATAACATTTTGTTCACGTATACTAACGAACCACTGAAATCATTTCAAAATAACGAACATGTTGATTTTCATTATTAACAGAATGTAACACAGGACACTTTTAGTCCATTTCAAGTACAGGGTCGCCTTTAAACCTGCTATAGCATACTGCACAGTACACATACAGACAATAAAAGGCAAAACGGGACGGTTCGCCAAATGAACCATTTCCTGCTAGTGAAATTTGTGTGCTTAGGGTTGCCTCACCATTTTTTCATCCTCTTCTGACAAAGCCATTCTAAAGTAAATACCCTACTCCATAATAGTTTCTTGAACAAGTATCTATCCATGGAACAACTCAGATTCTCTTGACTATAAATGTCAACACACGGCTACAATCCCGTGAACTATCAACGCCACTACCACTGGGCGTGATCTCGTTAGCTATCGATGTCAACAAGGACACGTGCAATTAATTGATCAATGTCTCAAACAGGACACGATCCATACGGCTATAATCCCATGAACTATCAACGCCACTACCACTGGGCGCGATCTCGTTAGCTATCAATGTCAACACGGACACTAGAAAATAACCGATCAATGCCAATATTACGGACACAGTCCTATGAGCTATCGATGTCAACCGGACACTAGCTCATAATCTATCAACGCCAAACCAATGGGCGCGATCTCAGCTCGTATGTTTCAAGAACATAATTACTCTCTCTACAGTAATCAGATCTGAGTCTCTATATCAACTGGTGTATTTGAGGTTTATATGTTACAAGTTAAACATAATAGACGTAATTACAATTTCTACATCTGAGCTGCAGTTAAAAATCTGAAATCGACGAAAAGATTTGAAAATTATAGATTTTAATCTTTGCTTTATTAATACCTCTAATTGTCTACATTCTACATTTTACAAAAATTTACATAAAAACGTAATTCATGATACACACATAAGAATTGATACAATCCATAGAAATACAATAACGAGGTCATAGTTAAACATGGTTATAGTCGTAATATTTCAAGTCAATGTAAAAAAACCAAAAGTAACAATCTTAAGATTCTTCATATGCATATTATTTAATCTTGAACTCAATGGAGACATGTTAAAAATTTTAAATTTGAATGCTTAAATAAATCAAAGTAGCTGAATACTTGCATCAAACTCTACTTTTCTATCACTGAATCTTTGCAACCTGATGGTGTAAATCTTTCATATATGTAACTTTAAATATTTTATCTGTATTCAGAGTTGATATGTTAAAAAAATAAGAGTTTAAGACAAGAAGTTACCTCAAATCTGTCTGAAAATCAAGATTTCTTCTGCTTTAAATGAAGTTTACATATTCAAGGAGCCATTAATGCAAGAAAAAAGCTGAATTCATTTTTTAAATTAGTTTCAGCACTCCGCAGTCTTATCTATTGAGTATAAAATTTGTAGCATACAAAAGTGACTTTGAATAGAATAAAATATAACTGTTAAATGATTTAATTAATCGATTGATTGGTTGATTGATTGATTGATTGAGTCAGTGTTGTGTTGGATCTATGGCCTCTAGATACTTTTTCTCCAGAATGTATGGCATCAGCTTATGCCTGAAATAAAATTTAGATTTAAAAAAATATTTAAATTTTGAAGAAAAAAAAAATCAAATAAATACATAGTTAAATTTATAATAGTTAAATACATATATATATATACCCAACGCTGCCCAGGTTACTAATTTACTACCGACTTATACCCTCGTTGAAACGATTCTACTGAGAAACTAAATAAAAAAAGTCGAACCATTTAACGTAGAATTCTCAAAACCAAGATGAACATTCCTGTGGGTCTCCTGAGTTTCCCAATCAAAATTTGAAGCAAATCGGTCCAGAGTTTCCTGAGTTATGATCGGACAAACAACAGACAACCAGACAGACAGAGATTACAACTTTACATATGTACTAGCTCGGAAACACAGAGCTGCCCAGGTTACCCGCACTAAGACAATTTTTACCGGGGAACCAACTCAAAACCAGCAAAGAACATTCCCGTGGGTCTCCCAATAAAAATGTAAGGCAAATCGGTCCAGGGGTTCCTGAGTTATGATCGGACAAACAAACAATAAAAAAGGAAAAAATTTTGAAAAAAATGTTGAAAATAAATGTTTGAAAAAAATTTGATTTTTTTAGCCCATAACACCCCCCCCGCCACCCCTGAGTGTCCAGAAAAAATTCCAGCCCAATCGGTCCAGCAAGAACTAAATGATTTAGCAAGAACTGAATAATTTAGCAAGAACTGAATGATTGCTTCACCCTTGAACAGACAAAGGTTTAAAGGGTAACGTTTTGAATCGGACATGCCACTCTACTAACGGAAGGAAGGTCACTTGAAATAACGTGTACAGTCCCTTTAATATTTTTGACCTGATTGGTAGGAAGAAGAATAGAACTACAGGGAAGATCATCTTGGCGTAGGGCCAGGGGATGAATCCGAACACGCACAGGACCAACAGCTGAACCAACTAAACAGAATCAAATCTGAACTCAGATCCTTCTAATTTTGAATCTGGGGATCAAGAATTGTTCTCCATCAAATCATACTGAGATTTAGGTGTTACCATTGAAAAATTGTCAAGACGACATTTTATAAATACTTTCGAGGTTCTCCAAAGTTCTGAGTCAAACTTTATCTAAGTAAAATAAAATTGTTTGAAAGGGACTGTCAAGGAAAAATGAAAGGGGTATAGGATAAAACCTTAGAATCTCAGGTTTTGAACGATACCTATAAGATATCTATCATATGTTCCTGTCTCGAGAAATTGACATAAAACTGTGTCAAAATTATACCAAAAGGACATATGTCAGATTTTGTATAAAAGTTGTAGCATTAAACAGAGCTGGGAACTTTTGAATGGTATATATCGGGATTAATGCTTGATCCACTCTTTTTCTTAATCTCGAGATTAAATAATGCTTGTTCTCCTCTTGTTATTAATCTCAAGATTAATTAACCGATCGGGATTAAGGATATCCTATTCTAAAGTTTCCAGCTCAGATCATATACAACAATTACGCAACCAACCTGAAAACGACTATTTCTCACAGCAACCTGAAAATCTCAGGTTTGCTCCTGCTATAATTATTTAATTTTTATTTTCCATTTTTTATAGATATAATTGATAATATTATTACATTTAATCCGTATAGTCCGTATTACGTCACCAGTACTTCAGCCAATGGTAGTGTAGTATACTGGTCACGTGATTTCCGTCTGTACCACGTGACAACGATACTGCACTGTCATTGACTGAAGTTATTGTTTTAATGAAATAAAGGTAAAGTACCTGACAGCATGTAAAGATATGCATGTTCTTTTGAGGAACAGATTTCACGTAGTGGTTTGGCGGGTAGGCTGCTTGCTCTATAAAACAAGGGAAACAGATTAGAAAAACACGACAATGCATAAATAAAGGGTTTAACATCATGGATTTATTTCAATTCAACATTTTCTAAAATTTGTAAAGTAAACTTTTAAAATGTAAGAAATAAAAATATGCATGACTTTTAATATGCTTCACGAAAAAAAAGATTCATGGACCTGAAGAAAAACTTTTGTTTTAGATACTAAACATCAGAACATGCAAACGTTTATTAATAAAAATTAGATAAATTCAAATTATTATGAATAAATTCGGTAAAAGAAAAAATTCGATTCAAGATTAATGTTTTGGTTAATTGAATAAAAAAATTAAATTTAGACAAATTGTTTAAATGCAGAGTTTGAAAGAAATATTTTCTGTTTCGGTTCCTGTAAACAGTAGAGATACTCGTTCGAACATCTGATTGCTGTACAGTGCTGTTATAGCCATGTACAGAAAAAGACCATCAAGTACAGCCTAAACAAAACATTTTTTATACTTAGTTCATGCTTTATTCACTTATCTTAGCGATGAAAAGCATTGTATTAAAATGATAAAATGGCTGTAGTGTATAGTTCAATTACTTTGCAATTACTCGCGGATTTTCTTCAGAAAAATTAGGAGATTTGAAAAGTTTTATTTCCAATTCGATTTCAAAATAATACAAAAACTGGTAGAGGTTCTTTGTCTGAACGCTGTTACTTAAAGTACAATATTGTGTTAAAAACATTTTTCAAACACTATTAATTTGGCATTGCGCTAAGATAATTCGGTCGACAGTTTTTTTTCCGATGCAGAATTTTGTTTAAAATGAAATGAAAAAAATATTGAATTAAAAGTATTCACCTTTGGCACAAACTTGAGAACATACGGTAGAAAAAGAAGACTTAGCCCTGAAAAAAACGATTAATATTAGATATCATTGAAAGTTACCATACATGTTTTGTTTCATGCAAAGTAGTTTTATGCTTCTATCTTAAAAATCATAAAGACAAATCTTCGCATTTTTTCCTACGAACGGAATGAAAAAATGTGCGAAATTTTCGGCGAATTTTTTTTTCGCGAAACGATTTCCTCATTTCGCTGGAATTTTTTCAAAACTCAAGTATGATGGATTTCCTTCAAACACCTGGAATTTCTTCAAAACTTAGCAATCCCAAAAACTCCTGTTTATTGGAATACCTCCGAATCTATATGAACTCAACTTCACCTCTTGAAATCCATCCAAAACCCTCAAATCCTTACAACATAATTTAATTCCTAAGTATTGATGTGATACTTTACCGACACTCCTTGATTAAAGAGTACCACTTATTCTTTTTATTATTGAAAGACAATCCTGCATTCGATGAAATAGGGGTCGGCAATCCTAACCGCCGAAACGTTTCCAAGAAAAAAAAATTTAAAATTGTTTTTACCTATAGCAATATTTGAGAGAATATTAGTTAGTCTTGTCTCACGAACATACGTTACTACATCCCTTGCATATCCTCCTAACCAACAGTTCACATTTTTAACCTTTTAATATATATCTATGTATACATATATATATGTTTAGATATTTATATACTTTGATTAAAAGATCAAACAAAACAAGTTAAGGAACAAACCATTTGCCTCAACCTTTAGTTTTAATATCCTTTAATCTTTGTAGTCTGGTTGTAAACACTAACATGTCAATTTTTGGCTCTTAGATCTAGCCGAAATCTTAATTTAAGAGAAATAATATCAGGTTGCAAAGATACAAGGTATAAAAAATTATAGATGTATTCAATTAAAAATATTAAATACTGAAAGAAAAATTCGGTTTAAAGTTTTTCTAATTTAATCGAATATTTTTTTTAAATGAAGAATAAAATAATTTTAATAATAAACTGTTCCTTCTACTCTAGTCTCCACATCTGCCAAACATCTAAAAAATAAAAAATTTTAAATTTTTTTTTAAAAATCTAAAAACCAAAAAGTTTGTCAATTCTTTGTTTAAAAGGATATAAATTGATCACTTCTTTTGCACTTTCTAAATCCTATTTTCTATAAAAATTTAAGGAAGGAACTTTTGTACTGCTAAGCATTTTTTTTGTAGTTTAACTGATACTTAACTCCTTTTGGAAATCTTTAAAGATAAGGATTACAAAAATGCAAGTCAGCTGTTATTGACAGATTAAGCACTTAAACTCCAAGTTTCCCCTTTCGATATAGAATTTAGTTTCAAATCTAAAATCCATGAAAAGTGTTAAATCTTTACCTAACATGGAGCGGGGAGTGTGGTAGAACCGCGTGCATGAACGGAAGTCCGAATATCGACAAAATGGCGTTGATGGCGGATATTACAACTAGAAAACAAAATGGCATGGATGCCGGATATTACAACTAGAAAACAAAATGGCGTAGATACCGGATAATACAACTAGAAAACAAAATGGCGTTGATGGCGGATATTAAAACTAGAAAACAAAATGGAGTAGATGCTGGATATTACAACTAGAAAACAAAATGGCGTTGATGCCGGAAATTACAACTAGAAAACAAAATGGCGTAGATGCCTGATATCAAATAATTAGATATATGGAGCTCTTTAAAACTATTTCCGCATATTGTTCTAAGGTTGAACTGTAGATTACATAGCCAGGGAAAAATTATAAATCGTGAATTTTGTCAAAAAAAATGTGTAAAGTAGATATTTCTTCTCATGAACAATAATTTGTTAATCAACTAAACAAAATGTTATAAAAACTGTTTTTTAAATTGTTTAAAATATTTGTGATATAAAAAATAATTTTTAAGTAATTTTGTAAAATAAATATTACCTAAGTCCCAATGATAAGCATTACCCTTCTTTAATCTATTCTCTGGACTATTAACCATGGCAGCACTAAAATAATATTTCAAATCTAAAAACAGATTTGACAATTTGAATATATATATATGTCTGATCTAAAGAGAAAACCAAATTCTAAATATCTATAATTCAATGCACAGTTATAATGAAGACGACTTTTCTATCTAAGTTCTCACAATCTTTTTTCAATTTACAAGTTTAAAAGTAAACAAAAAATCATGTATATTCAATATCCATGCTGTAGGAAAGCTTTGTAGAAAAAAAATTTGAATTGAAATCGTCTTTATTGTATTGATATATAGGAGAACGACTTTACCTAATTTTTAACTGAACTTCCTGAGTTTGCAAAATTGGTAAAATATGGTTTAGGCGAAAGGGCACGTTTCATTTTTCTGACCAAACAAATTAAGTGCTCGTTCAGTTCCTTGGAGTTTTACACCTCTAGCAAAAAATGGTAGACGTAAGCCTAACCTCTACGCCCCCCAAAAAATACCTCCAAAGTGATCCAAAAATTGCCTGTTCTCAAGCAAAAATACCTCCAAAGTAATCCAAAAATTGCATGTTCTCACGCAAAAATACCTCCAACGTGATCAAAAAATTGCATGTTCCCACGCAAAAATACCTCCAAAGTGATCCAAAAATTGCCTGTTCTCAAGCAAAAATACCTTCAAAGTGATCCAAAAATTGCATGTTCTCAAGCAAAAATACCTCCAAAGTAATCCAAAAATTGCCTGTTCTCACGCAAAAATACCTCCAAAGTGATCCAAAAATTACATGTTCTCACGCAAAAATACCTCCAAAGTGATCCAAAAATTGCATGTTCTCATGCAAAAATACCTCCAAAGTGATTCAAAAATTGCCTGTTCTTACGCAAAAATACCTCCAAAGTGATCCAAAAATTGCCTGTTCTTACGCAAAAATACCTCCAAAGTGATCCAAAAATTGCATGTTCTCACGCAAAAATACATAAGTATTTTGCAATTACGTATTTAAAAACGACGCGTCGAACAAGAGTTTTTTATATATTGTATACATGTCTATGCCTACAACTGAGAAAAAATTGCCAAGGCGCTGCTACACTTCAAAGTCGACCCAGTCTTGAAAATTGATGCAACTTTTTAAAGCAGTCTAGATCGCTGGTCCAGATATCCTTATTTATATATTTTTTATCTAAGAATTAGACAATTCTAAATTGCGGTACGCAAATTCGAGTAGTAATTTGCCATACTTCTTTTAAATTTTAGATAAAAACAAGCACATCTTAAAATACATATGGAGAGGGCTACAAAAAAGTATAAGTAAGTTGGTTTGGTAAAACTAAAGGCCAAGGTGTGCGACACTTTAAATTTGAGGCTGTCTAAAAATTTCATGACTAACTTTTAGAAATGTCTATATCTCTGCAGTGCATTGTGAATTGAGGTGCATTGTGCAACCGATTAAATAAGTTGGTTTTGATGTTTACCTGAAAAGTACGACCTGGAAGTTGAATTGACCGGCTTCATAGCGGAAAGGGGTCAGTTTTACATCCCTAGAGTTACAAAACTAACTTTAATAATGAAATTAAAGTATTCAGAAAGATATAATCTTTCACACCCACTTACACCCAAAGAAAGGTGGAGGGGGGGGAGGGGGGTGATAAGGGGTCACATAACGCATCACCCTTTTTTAACTTCAACTAAAGGTATCATAGAATATAAATTTATCACTTCTTTTGCACTTTCTAAATCCTANAACGCATCACCCTTTTTTAACTTCAACTAAAGGTATCATGTAATGATAGATCAAAATTAGATAAATTTTATTTTGCGAATTTTTCGCTAATATTCCGGAAATTCTAGTTCTGTTTCCTAAACATTGCGGATCCAATGATGCTGAAGACAACAACTGCAACCGGAAGTGCATAATCTGACAACAGCTCACGCTTCCTGAACAATATCCGGTTTAGTAATCAACATCTATGTTTAGAGAAGAAATCTATCTAGAGAAACATAAAGTTGGTACCTGGGTGAAAGATATGGAGTTTTAACAAAGTTGAAAAGAGTTAGTCCGAGCCACACAGTTCCAACCATTAGTATAAGGTAGAGAAGGCTCACCTCCCTCTCACATTCATATTCTTCTTCAATATGCGCAGATCTCTCTTTTCTAGAGACATAATTCTTTTGTAAACCTGACAGGGATATATATGTTCTAGAAAAATCGTTTCCACCAGCCACCGCTAGAGAAAATCTTTTTCCTCCAAAGATATATTAAGGTATGTTTCAAGGTAACAAATAAATCAATTTTTTAGGTACAAAGTGTGGACAAACATGCAAGTTGATGTCTTAACACAATATTAAAAAAAAATAATAAATTTTTTTTTGCCACACTGCGCTGTAGGAAAAGCATTTTGACGAGAGTTTGTCATATAAAAAAGTTTTACTTAAATCGAACATTCTTTTCGATATTTCTTTAAATCTTTAAGAAATAGAAAGTTAGGCTATCGTAAAAATGTTTTCGATTGTTTTAAAACTTTTTAAGATTGTTTTAAAAACTTTTTAAGATTGTTTTAAAACCTTTTTTGATTCTTCTAAAAATTTTTTAGAATTAACTAAAAATAATGTTGAACAGTTTGAAAGTGAGCCGATTCTTACAGAATTTACGTAATTTCCCAATGCATTTATACCTGTAACCTAACTATTTTTTAATTTAATCTAAAATGACAAAATACATAACGAACTGGTGAAAATTCTGTTAGAATTGACTAATATTCAAAAAAGTTTTTAAACTAATCTTAAAAGTTTATAAAACAATTTAAACATTTTTAGAACAATATAAAAGTTTTTAAAGCGACCTCAACAAGTTTTTAGCTTAACTAAAATTTTGTTAGGGCATTATAGAACATTTTTATGTTAGCCTATTTATCTATTTATGAGAAAAAATTTCTATGATTAATTAAAGTATGAAAAAAATGTTCGATGTAAGGCAAACTTGTAATGCTTTTCTTACACTGCAGATTAACCTTAATTTACTGACCTTGAGAGTGCTGATATGAGCGGGCTGGTCAGGTTAAATGCTTCAGGTAGAGTTTTGTTCAGGTCAGCTTGACAGGCAGCATTACTGGCATGAAATAGATTTAACAATCTGAAAATCTTCCCCTTTACTAAATAAAGACAAGCATTGATTTTCTGACCCCTATACTGAAGTCTAAAATCTGTGATGTGTTTTTATTATCTAACCTGTATCTAAATCCTATCTGTGATTACTGATTTTCTAAACACTACTTGTGGTTAAATAAAGACTATCTGTAATTATCTAAAGACTATCTGTGATTATCTAAAAACTATTTGTGATTATCTAAAGACAATCTGTGATTATATAAAGACTATCTGTGATTATATGAAGACTATCTGTAATTATTTAAAGACTATTTGTGATTACATAAAGACTATCTGTTATTATCTAAAGACTATCTGTGATTATCTAAAGACTACGTGTGATTACATAAAGACTAGATGATTATCTAAAGACTACCTGTGATTATCTAAAGACTACCTGTGATTATCTAAGGACTGCCTGTGATTATCTAAAGACTACCTGTGATTATCTAAGGACTACCTGTCATTATCTAAAGACTACCTGTCATTATCTAAAGACTATAGCTGTGATTATCTAAAGACTATATGTTATTATCTAAAGGCTATCTGGGATTATCTAAAGACTACCTGTACCTCCAAAGTGATCCAAAAANTCTCTCTTTTCCAAATTTTGAATAAATTTAACCTATGAATCCAAATATTTACAGAGTTTCAGGTCGTTATTATAGTCTCATTCTTTGTGAATAAACAGCTGTAGGTAACAAAATGGCTGCCATAGGTAGGAAAATGGCTGCTGTAGGTAGGAAAATGACCGCTGTAGGCAGGAAAATCGCAGCCATAGGTAGAAAAATGGCTGCCATAGGTAGGAAAATGGCTGCTTTAGGCAGGAAAATGACCGCTGTAGGCAGGAAAATCGCAGCCGTAGGTAGAAAAATGGCTGCCATGTGTTACATAATAACTCTGCCAATAAATATTATTAACCTGGATGAGAATTTCATAAGTTTTGAAAGGTTAAAGAAAGCGTAAAGGAAGAGGAAGAAAGAATTCCATAAACCAACCATGCCATAAAATGGTAGGAAACTAATATACAAATAAATCACAATCATAAACACAGAAATATCTAAAATCTAGTTTTGCTATCTGCTTGTCTATGGGTGAGCCGGTTTGTTAGTGTCTATGACGTCAGAGCGGCTCAACCAATTTGTTGTGAAAACTTACATAAACCAAAGGATGGCTAATGACTGGAAAAAAGAAGAAAAAAAATTGGCTCACAAAATTGTTGTTAAAATATTTTCAAATTAACGAATGAAAAAAAGAAAATATGCAAAACTTTGTATCTAAAGGATTTATACGAAGCAAAAATGGTGGCATGTAAACTCTGCGAAAGCAACATTCAGAAACAAAAAAATATCAATTGATTTGGCTAATAGAAGGGTGAGTGAAATTAATATAAATCTATTTGATAGTATGACGTGAAATATCCCTGATATCAAAATCCTCCGCAATAAGAAGGATAATCTTGGTAAACAGAACAAGTGGAGCAGTAGTCATTACAACAACTAAAATAAAACAAAAATAATAAAGTTTTCACAAAATTAGATTAAAAAAAGCTTTTCTACCCTTGTAAGCAACATTACCTCTAGCATTACTGCAGCTGTGACAAACTTTTTTTACGAATTTTCTACGAGATTTTAATCTATTGAGGCGAGTTCATAGTTATGAAATAGAAATTTTAAATGGAATCATTTAAAAATTTGAATTAACAATTTTAAAAATTAACCCAAATTCCTGAACCCCCCCCCCCCCCTCTTTAAAAAAGCAATAATTGTATCATGAACAGGGGGAGTAAAAAAATGGGATTAGCGTTATAATAGAAAACTTTTTTTTTGCAGGGTTTATGTTTTTGGTGGAAAAATTACTAAAATAAAGGGATTCAAACGCAAAAATAATTTTGAGACATAACTAGCGCGAAGCAATTTTTTTCTGAAATTTTTTTCTTTTATATTATTTTTATTATATAGTTTCATAAATAAATATTGATAAATAAAATAGTTATCACAAAAAATCCGCAAAAATATCACTACAAATCTGCTCAAGATTAATCGTAACAAATCTATATCGCAAAAAAACAACTTTCTCTTCTGACAATTGTCATTCAAAATTTAATTTTTAACAGAGAATAGATATTTATAAATAAATTTTTCGTTTTGATATTTTTTCGAATAAAATATTTTCTAGAAATTTTTCTTGTTGTGGCATTTTGATCAAATTAAATCAGGCTTATACTACTATCCTAATAAAGGTAGACCGGGAACGAAGCTGAAAGCTAGAACTCCAAGTACTGTAAACTAAACTACAGGTTAACCATCTGAAAGCTAAACCTCCAAAAACTGTTAACTCCAATCCACTTAGGCCATCCCTGCAACTTATGATTTGATTTGATTTTTGACCGGGAACGAAGCTGAAAGTTAGAACTCCAAGTGCTATAAACCAACCTAAAGGTTGACCGGCAAAGAAGCTGAAAGCTAGACCTCCAAGTATTGTAAACTAACCTAAAGGTTGACCGGCAAAGAAGCTGAAAGCCAGACCTCCAAAAACTTGACCGATCAGAATCTTCTCCACATTTATTCTACCGCTTGTATTGTCATCCTTGTATAAAACAACAGTTCAGATATTTAAGTATTGCACATACACACAATGTTATGTACAGCACGTCCCATATTATATAAGACTATCTTCTAGCTTTAAAGCCTAAATACGAATGTATTTCTCGAAAAACCTAGCATTTTCTGCATGCAAATTTTTACATCAGCCTTTTAACATTTTTCAAAATGATTCTGTCATTTTAATTTTTCTGATTAGTCCCGAAAATTTCAATTTAGAGCAATTAACGATCCAATTTTATGTGGGAAACCCTGTACAAAACATGTCTGTAATGTTTATCATCTATGCAATACGTTTAAATGCATTCATTTTTAAGATTTTTTATATGATACATACAGATTTTGCTAAGATACATGCAGATTTTGATATAATACATACAGATTTTGCTAAGATACATACAGATTTTGCTAAGATACATGCAGATTTTGTTAAGATACATACAGATTTTGCTAAGATACATACAGATTTTGCGAAGATACATAAAAACTTTGATAAGATACATGATACATACAGATTTTGCTAAGATACATACAGATTTTGCTAAGATACATACAGATTTTGCGAAGAAACATTCAGATTTTGCTAATGAATACAGATTTTGCTATGATACATAAGATTTTGCTAAGATACATACAGATTTTGCAAAGATACATACAGATTTTGCTAAGATACATACAGATTTTGCTAAGATACATACAGATTTTGCTAAGATACATACAGATTTTGCAAAGATACATACAGATTTTGAAAAGATACATACAGATTTTGTATAATAATAAAGATACTAATGATATTTTTCAATCAAGAAATATTTGTAGAACTATTATATAAAGAATAAAATACTTATTAATAAATTGAAATTCTACAGGGTTACCTACAAAGCAAAAAAAATCTTCAGAGACGACTGTACAGAATTTATACTGTCTTTTTAATTCTGTATATTCATGATGATTCCCTGCAATTTTAAATTTTTTTCTTTCTCAACGCATTTTAAAGACTTCATTTCGACTTTGGATTGCTATATTTGAAGAGTTTCTGGTCGTCTTTACAGTCTCATCTTTTGTGGGTAACCCTATATTTATTAACTTGGTTTGAATTTCATTCCTTATTAAAAGGCAAAAATAAGCTATGACATACCTGAAGATTACCAAATGCAATAGCTGGAAGAATGATACTGAAGTATAGAAAGAAAGATGTTGAAATTGTTTTAGCAATTGATTTAGGACCTATAGCAGAGCATACATTTCAAAGATAGATTCATAAATTAAACAACATTTTTTTTGTATAATTAAATTAAATTGACATTAGTTTTAAAAATATAATTTTTTTGCTGAAATGTATTCCTATGACTCCATCTTTAAAATCAGACCAGTAGAATGGAAGACGATTTGTCAGATCGTTCCGAATGCCGCGTCCAACGTCTAAAAACCGGAAGGAATCATCCTTCGTGGATTTCTTCGGCAAGAGGGGAGCTGACTCATCCAAATATAACTCTGTAGCTGCTTTCTCAATACTTTTCTTAAACTCCATTTCGTTATTGGACTGCAGCAAGGTATGCCTAAATAGTTTACCAAATTAGTTAAAGCATTTAAAAAAAACTAAGAGATTTTAAATGAACATGATGAATGATTTTGTTAATTTTTTCTAATATCAAATTAAAACAAGCAAAAAGTTTAATTTTTTCAAGATTTTCACAAGTTTTTATTTTTAGCAGACAATTGTTTATAAACTTTCTTTACACAATGCTTTGATTTATCTACTGCCAGATAATTTATCATTTTATTTGCCTAAATTTATCTTTCTATTTGTAAGCCATCAGATAATTTATTATTTTATTTGCTCTAATTTATCTATATATTTGTAAGCTGACAGATAATTTATTATTTTATTTGCCTAAGTTTATCTATCTATTTGTAAGCTGACAGATAATTTATCATTTTATTTGCCTAAATTTATCTATCTATCTGTAAACCATCAGATAATTTATTATTTTATTTGCCTAAATTTATCTATCTATTTGTAAGCTGACAGATAGTTTATCATTTTATTTGCCTAAATATTTCTTTCTATTTGTAAGCTAACAGATAATTTATCATTTTATTTGCCTAAATTTATCTATCTATTTGTAAGCTGACAGATAATTTATCATTTTATTTGCCTAAATTTATCTATCTATTTGTAAGCTGACAGATAATTTATCATTTTATTTGCCTAAATTTATCTATCTATTGGTAAGCTAACAGATAATTTATCATTTTATTTGCTCAAATTTATCCTTCCATTTACAAATAATTTATCAATTCATTTGCCAAATTTATCCATTTATTTATCTGCTATCATCGACAGTTTATTATTTTATTTGCCAAATTTATCCATTTATTTATCTGCTATCATAGACAATTTATTATTTTATTTGCCAAATTTATCCATTTATTTATCTACTATCATCGACAATTTATTATTTTATTTGGCTAAATTTATCCATCTTTTTATCTGATTTACCTGAGCTGAATACTGGAGAAAAGTGTTGAGAAGGTTCGAGCCGTTTCCAGAGAATTTTTAGTTCCTGAAAAAAAAAATATTATAAAGTGAATTTTAATAATAAGCTGGGTTTTCTCAAACTAGAGGATTTGCACTTGCAAATAGAGGTCACAGAATCGTAATTGTAATTTTGCTTAAAATGGACATTTTTTAAAAAGCCGTTGTTGATATTTTACTCAATAACTGTGAAAAGCACTGAATCAAAAAACGGAAAATAAAAATAATTCGTTACATGATAAAATTATTTAAAAGAACAGGGTTGCAAAAAGAAAAATTATAAAAAGCAAATTAATCCTCTTCTAAAGTTCTTGTAAAAAGTAAATTAAAAAAGTTCTTAAATCCTTTGAAGAAGAATCATTAAATAAAATAAGAAATAAGAGGACTACAATATAAAATGTTTTGATAGGGTACCCACTACCCATAGGTTTCCTCAAAAAAAATTCAGCCAATTGTGTCCCGCCGTTTAGACAGGTTTAGCTAACATATTGACAAGAATGAAATTCTTATTTATATAGATTCGTTATTCTGAAAATAAAATATACTCTGTGCTGAATAAACAACAATGTAATATGATAAATGCAAATATAAGTTAAATGATATTGAATATTATGAATTAACAATGGCTGCCTCTTCTCACTGTATAATCTTGAAATAAACTGACTACAGGATTTTCTTATCCTGATATTGCAGTTTGACCGGCATATCCTTGAACCAGCAGGGGCAAGCACAGGATGGAGGCAATCCAGGGAGCACATGGCAGGGGCCAGAAAGGTAGAAAAATGTCTTTTAAAATTTATATCTAAACCAAAATTGTCAAATGCTTTGTAAAAAAGAAGAATTAAAGCTGGGGTGGGAGGAGATGGAGTTTAAGTGTTTTATTCAACCTTTACCTTTAACATTTCCTGGACAGAGTACTAGGATAAAGAATCTTATTTCCTGAGCAGATTCTCCTAGATTAGTTCCTTGAGATAATTCAGCTACACCAACCAGCCTAGAATAGATTAGTTCCTAGAGATGATTCAGCTACAAAAACCATCCTAGAATAGATTAGTTCCTAGAAATAATTCAGCTACACCAACCATCCTAGAATAGATTTGTTCCTAGATATAGTTCAGCTACACCTACCATCCTAGAATAGATTAGTTCCTAGATATAATTCAGCT